TGAATTGCCCCCCAACCCCAAGATTCATTTATTTCTCTTTCTAATGCTACTATTAGCATTCAATCCATACTTTCCAAATACAGGCATACCTCAGAAAGATGCAAGTTTGCTTCCAGATCACTGCAATAAAATGAATATCTTAAGTGAGTCACATGAATTTTTTGGTTTCCCATTGCATATACTGTAAATTTTTTGGTTTCCCAGTTTATACTGTTATACATGTACAATAGTATTATGTCTGAAAATCTACATGTTATAATTTAAAAATACATTTCTGATAAAGCAAAATGCTTATCATGATCTGAGTCTTCAGCAATTTGGGATCCTTTTACTGTTGGAGGGTGTTGCCTTATTATCAATGGCTGCTGACTGATCTGGTCAGGTGGTGATTGCTGAATGTTGAGGTGGGGCATTTTTTAAAAATAAGACTACAGTGAAGTTTGATGCATTGATAGACTCTTTCTTTCACAAACAATTTTTTCATAGCATACTATCTTGTTGGTAGCATTTAACCCACAATAGAACTTCTTTAAAATTTGGAGCCAATCCTCCAAACCCTGCTGCTGCTTTATCAACTAAGTTTATGTAATATTTTAAATCCTGTATTATCGTTTTAATAGTCTTCACAATATATTCACCAGAAGTAGATTCCTTCTCAACAAACCACTTTGCTCATCTAAAAGAAAGCAGCTCATCTATTAAAGTGTTATAATGAGATTGCAGCAATTCTGTCACATCTTTAGGCTCCACTTCTTATTCTAGTTCTCTTGCTATTTCTATGACATCTATGGTTACTTCCTCCACTGAAGTATTAAACCCCTCAAAGTCATCCATGAGGGTTGGAATAAACTTCCAGACTCCTGTTAATGATTATATTTTGATCTCTTCCTATGAATCATAGGTGTTCTCAATGACATCTAAAATGGTGAATCCTTTTTAGAAGGTTTTCAATTTACCTTGCCCAGATCCACCAGAGGAATCACTGTCTATGGCAGCTCACAAAATGTATTCCTTAATAAAACTTGAAATTCAGAATTACTCTTTGACCCATGGACTGCAGAATGGTTGTTGTGTTAGCAGGTATGACGACAGCATTAATCTCCTTATACATCCCATCAGAGCTCTTAGGTGACCAGGCAAATTGTCAGTGAACACTAATATTTGATAGGGAATTTTTTTTTCTAAGCAGTTTGTCTCAACAGTGAGCTTAAAATATTAAGTGAACCATATTGTAAGCAGATGTGCTATCATCCAGGCTTTGTTTTCTTTTTAGAGCACAGGCAGAGAAGATTTAGCATAATTCTTAAGGGCCCTATGATTCTTGGAATGGTAAATGAACATTGGCTTCATCTCACACTGACCAGGTACATTTGCCCCTAACTAGAGAGTCAGCCTGTCCTTTGAAGCTTTGAAGCCAGGCATTGACTTTTCCTTTCTAGCTGTTAACGTCCAAAGAGCCATCAGTGTTCCTCCTCCATTGAAAAGCTGTTGCTTAGTCTAGCCACCTTCATTAATTATGTTAACAAGATCTGGATAATATGCTGCTACACCTTGCACTTTTGTGTTATGGAGATGGCTTTTTCCCATAAACTTCATGAACCAACCTCTGGTAGCTTCAAACTTTTCTTTTTCAGTTTCCTCACCTCTCTCAGCCTTCATGGAATTAAATTGAGATAGGGCCTTGCTCTAGATTAGGTTTTGGCTTAAGGGAATGTTGTGGCTAGACCAGCAGTTGCCAACATTTTAGACTTCACAGACCACCAGTGGTTTACAGACCACTGGTTGGTGACCGCTGATCTAGACCACTAAAACTTTCTCCACATCATCTATCAGGCTGTTTTAATTTCTTATAATTTGTGTGTTCCACTGGAGTAGCATTTTTAATTTTTTCAAGAACTTTTCCTTTGAATTTACAACTTGGCTAACTGATACAAGAGGCCTACCTTAAGGACTATTTCAGTATTGACATTCCTTCCTCGGTAAGCTTAATCATATATAGCTTCTCACTTAAAGTGAGAGATAAATCATTCCTCCTTTCCCTTGAACACTCAGGGAACATTGTAGGGTAATTAATTGGCTGCATAATTTCAATATTGTTGTGTGTCACAGAATAAGAAGATCCAACGAAAGAATATGAGATGGGAGAATGGCTTGTCAATGGAGCAGTCAGAACACACATATTTATTAATAAAGTTCACCATCTCACATTGGTATGATTTGTGGCATCCTAAAACAATTACTAGTACAATAGTAACATCAGACATCACCGATCACAGATTACTGTAACAAATATAATAATAACAAAAAAGTTTAAAATATTACAAAAATTATCAAAATGTAGTGACACAGACACACCAAATTGGCACATGCTATTGGAAAAATGGCAGTGCTATGTTTGCTGGATGCCAGGTTGCCAGAAAACTTTAATTAAAAAAAACAAACAAAAAAACAGTATCTGCAAAGCACAGTAAACAAGGTGCAATAAAACGAGTATGCTTATACAGATGTAGCAATTTGTTTATCTGTCCACTGTTAGTTATCACCTATCAGATCGTTATGCATACTATTTATTCATTTCTTCCTTTCAGCTCACAGCTCAGAATGTCATGCCTTTTTAATCATTTTATTAATCTTTATATACCTCCAAATAATTGGTGAATGAATCTGAAAATGGCTGGCTGCATTAAAATATAAAACATGCGCACCTGCGCACGCGCGCATGCTCGCGCATACACACACACACACACACACACACACACACAATGATCTGTGAATTTTTTCTTAAATGACATAATACAGGGTGTCCCCCCCAAAATGTATACACACACTTTGAATAGTTATAAAGGCAGTGTTTATTAAAATACATTCCATTTTCAGAATTGAGCTATCAGCTGTTAAAGTGTATATACATTTTTTGGGATACCCTGTATATACATAAAACATAATTATGATTCCCCAACACTGCCAAAATCCACACTCACCCCATTCACCTAAAGATGGAGAGAATGAGGTCTTGGGAATGTTGCCCAATTTTTCTCTTCTCATTCCCTTTCCAAATGCATGCCAGTTGCCCTAAGGCTTCAGAAGATCCCTGAAGGCAGCATTTTACTTTCTGTAGGAAGGGGAACTAGTATAGCTGCAAGGTGATCCCAACTTCTTGCCAATCTGTTGATTTTGAAAGCTCATTCACTCCAGATTCCCTGCTGAGAGCTGAGACATTGCTTCTGCAGGAAGGCGTTTATTTTAGGTACACTTTCGTTCTTCAGATGTGCAGCTTCATAGCATTGATATTGTAAATTATAGGGGAAATGTGGAGAAAGTTAACACGGTTGGTTTAAAGATGTTTGACATCTTTTTCTGGTGATTTCTGTTTTATTATGTATTGTATTAAAATTGGCTTATTCATTAAATTTATGAGATTATAATTGGCATACATCACTGTATAAGTTTAAGTTGTACAGTATAATTATTTGACTTATATATACTGTACCTTGGGATGAGAGTTCTTAGGAGTTACTTTCTCTTTAATCCTCACCTGAAGACACGTTTATTGACTTTTTCAAAGAGAGAGAAATAAAAACACTGATGTGAGAGAGAAAAATCCATTGCCTTCCTTCCATTTGTGCCTGACCCCACAACCCAGGTATGTGCCCTGACCAGGAATTGAACCTGTGACCTTTAGGTGCATGGGATGACGCTCCAACCAACTGAGCCACATTGGCCAGGGCAGGAGTTACTTTTTCTTTTCTTTTTTTTTTTTTTTTTAAATATATTTTATTGATTTTTTTACAGAGAGGAGGAGAGAGGGATAGAGAACTAGAAACATCGATGAGAAAGAAACATCGACCAGCTGCCTCTTGCACACCCCCTACTGGGAATGTGCCTGCAACCAATGTACATGCCCTTGACCGGAATCGAACATGGGACCTTTCAGTCCACAGACCGACGCTCTACCACTGAGCCAAACTGGTTTTGGCAGGAGTTACTTTCTTAACAGCTTTCATATATGCCATACATCAGTGTAAACTGCCAGTAGTAATCAATTGTATAAACATCACCAGTACTTACTTAACTGAAATTTATACCTTTTGACCACTTCATCCAAATTTTCTATCCCATTCCTTGCCTCTACTAACCATGAATCTGATCTCTTTTTCTATGAATTTGGGTTCCTCTCTCTTTTATTTTACACTCCACATTTAAATATGATCATAAATAATTTGTCTTTCTTAACTATTTTATTTAGCATTATTTCATCCATGTTGTTGCAAATGTCATGATTTTCTTATTTTTTTATGGCAGAATAATAGTTCGTAACTTCTTTATCCATTCATTCACTGATGGACACTTAAGTTGTTTCCATGTCATGGCTATTGTAAATAATGCTGTTATAAACATGTGGGGGGATGCAGATAACTGTTCACAATGGTGTTTTCATTTCCTTTGGTCATATTCTTATAAGTAGAATTGCTGAATCACATGGTAGGTCTAATTTTTATTTTATTTGTTTTAGGAACCTCTATACCATTGGCTATATTAGTTTACATTCACATAACAGTACACAAGGGTTTTCTTTTCTCCACATCCTTACCAGGATTTGTTATCTCTAAATTTATTCTTTTTATAGATTTATATATGCTTCTTTTCTTGACACATAGATTTAATATTTTTTAAAGAAAAAAAATGAAATACCTGGTCTGATGAAGAAGATTTTTTAATTTATCAACTTATTGCATACCTTCACAAAGGTATAAAACAAATTGTGTTCATTAGCAAAATAAAATTACATTAAATCAACTCTGGTGTTAGAACCATAGATGCAGAGTTTCCATACCTATCTTTCTTTATATATTATAGTATTAAGCGTGCAGTTGCACTTAGTAAATATGTATTGGTTAAATCATTTAATAATAGGATGTGCTGCTTCCATTGACCATAGACCTTAGAGAAGACTTTTGTGTAACAGCAGTGTTTTCTCCATCTCCTGGGTTTGTCCACAGTAAACAGATCCGAGCTATGCTAGGCCAGTTCAGCCAGGCCGAAGGCTTATTAATGAAAGCTGGAGTGCAGCCAGGGACATTGGATGGAGTTCTTTTCGATCTTGGATGTTCCTCCATGCAATTTGATGCTCCTGAAAGAGGTTTTTCCCTTCGGAACGATGGCCCTTTGGACATGAGAATGGATGGTGACAGGTGAGTATCAATAAAGCATTTCTCCACACAACAAGAAATCGATTTCTCAAAGGCACTCTGAATTTAATTTCCCTTTAAGACTGCAGAATTCCCATTACACGCCCACACCCAATACTATCCATATATAATAAATCAGTTTTGTTTGATACTCATTAAAGTTTTTAGTATTTCTCTAGTTTTGGGATTCTGAAAGAAAAACCATTGCTGTCTACACAAACTAGTGAGGAGGATAACTTTCACACTGATTATCTTTTTTATGGATAATCGTGCTTTGATATGACCTTTTAACAGAGATTGTGACCCATACTTGTCAGAATCTTTTTGTTCTCAGTCTTAAATTTTCTTTTGCTCAAGTTGGCATTCATAGAATGAAGGATGTGATCATAAAAGAAAATAATAAAAATCTTCCAAAAACCAGTGACTAATAGTGAAGGTCAAATATTTTTTCATGTTTGGAGATTGAGGTTTAGCAGTGGTACTAAAATCTCAAGCAAATTGTGGTTGTTCTTGATGTCTTGCTAAGAGGATGCCTTCTGAAATACAATGAACAAAGCTTCTAGTTAATAGTAGTAAACCCTCATATTGTTAATGTAAAAATTTGTCAGCAAATTTTAGTGTGAGAGTCAGGATTCTTGAGATGCTCCCCTAAGAACATGAAAAATAGATTGCCTTTGTGAATTAAACTCTTAATATGTAATGGATGAGATTAGAGTTGAGAAAATATCTTAAAAAGCCGGTAGGTTTCTATTGAGATAGCCTAGACTGTAACTTAGCCACAGATATTAACAGATCTGAAGAAAGTATGTGCCATACAGAAAGTGGGAGTTGGTTCACATGAATTAATAGAAAAAGAAGAGTCAGAGATGTAACCAAGTGCGTTGCTAATCCAAGTGGTGTTATGGGAGAGGGAAAGTGATCAGTCATATCATGGAGGCTGATATGTCCCTGTGTTGAATGTGGATACAACAGGCTTTCTTAACCTGTTGCCATTGAACATTAGAATCTTACAGCATAGCCCAAATTCAACAACAGCTTTTAGACTATAATAATGTTTCATGTAGCAGAAAGAAATTCACAGTTTAAGGACCTGTGGTATATCTGGGTTGTCAGGTGTAGTCTTCACTATAAGGAAATAAATAAATTCACACTTAGGTTAATATTTCCTTTGTAAGTCCCTGATCTCTGGAATACCAATGAAATTCCTTAACCTATTAAGTTGGGGTGGGGGACAGATTTTATATCTTGACTTTTTGTTACTCCTCAATTGAGGATATTTTTCCATTGTTTTTTAGCAAGAGTTGAAGAGAGAGGGAAAGACAGAGAGAAACATCGATGTGAAAGTAACATATCAATTGGTTGCTTCTTGCAGGAGCCCAACCAGGGCTGGGGAGAAGCCTGTAACCAAGGCATGTGTCCTTAACCTTTGGTCCGGGGACACTTAGGCCCATACTTTATTCACTGAGTCAAACTAGCTAGGGCTGTATCTTGACTTCTACACCACATAAATGCCTATTCTGAAGCCTCCTAGAAGCCCTCTAACTTTCAGTTTGTTCCCACTTTGGTCTTATAGCACTAATATTAGATAAAATAAAATTATGCCTATTTCCACTGAACTATAATATATTTGAGCAAAGTATTTTTTTACTTTCATACTTGAAAGTGGAAAGGTATTATAAAAAATTGCTATATACATCCATACTAATTTTAGAACTGTCCAATTTGAGGTGAAATCCATACTATGGAGTCTGAGTTTATCATCATTCACAAGGTTCATTCTAATAGTTAGTGGTTTGGGCAGTTGAATTCACAATTAGGTAAGATCTAGCAGGGATTTTGTTGATTATGCCAAAAATGATGATTGGCAAATCCAAGAAGGGGAAAAATCTAAGGGACCTGGATAGGTATTGAGCTTCCCTATGGGCTATTATATAATACTATGTGTTTTATGATTATATGCACCCTAGCTCTCTCAACAATTCTATGAGGTAAGCATTGTTACTTTCATTCACAGGCTAGAAATTAAAGAAATTGAGGTTCCACTATATTAACAAGTTTACTAAATTAAGTAAAGCCTGGATTCTAAACTAGGTCAATTTGACTCTAAAGACCAAATCTTTATCCTTAAAGCTATTATTAACGGAGCAAAGCCTATTGAGATGAAAACCAGACTACTGTATAGGATGTTCATTGGTCAGGGGGTGCCATGGCAGCCAGGAAAAAAACAAAAACAAGATTTGAGAGAGGAAGTGTGTGTGTGTGTGTGTGTGTGTGTGTGTGTGTGTGTGTGTGTGTGTGTGTGAGAGAGAGAGAGAGAGAGAGACAGAGACAGAGACAGAGACAGAGACAGAGACAGAGACAGAGACAGAGATAAAGGTTATGGCAAAATAGGGTACAAGCCAAGGACAAAATTTTCTCCTGGAAGACCTAGGCATTCTAAGGAGGTGCAATGAAGTATATTTAAGGAAGGATTTGAGTGTTTCTTAAATCTAATCTGATCCTCAGATCTTAAAGATGCCATATCCTTGTTATTTAAATTTCTCACAATTGGTACCAATAATCAATCCAATGTATTAACTACAGGAGTAATAACTATACTATTAGCAAAGCTCTTTCTAATAAGTAAGGTCTTGGTTAATGCATCACTTAGAATTCCTGGATCCATATTTCTAAGGTAAGTTAAGCTGGCATGGTCTGACAAAGTAAATTCTGTTTCCTGCTACTATGATTTATTGGGGACAGTTTGATATTTCTTTGTCTTCTTCACCTGAAATTACCATCTAGGCTTGTTTAGTACTGTTTGTTGATTACCAAGTGTTATCTCATGATGTCCTTTGTCCTGGAGATAGAAGCCAATATTGTTAAACATTTGAAATAATACACATTATTATCATTAAGAATATTCTAGTTTTTGTGAGGGAAGCTGACCAGCAGTATCTTCTTGTACAGTAGTTCTCCTTATCCCTGGTTTCACTTTCTTCCCTTTCAGTTACCTGAGGTCATCCATAGCCTGAAACTATTAATTGGAAAACACCAGAAATAAACAATTCATAAGCTTTAAACTGTGCACCATTCTGCAGAGCAAGATGAAATCTTGTGGAATCCAACATTATCTTGCCTGGGATGTGAATCGTTCCTTTGTCCAGCATATCTATGCTATATACGCTAACCACTCATTAATTGCTTAGTAGCCATTTTGGTTATCAGATCAACTATAGTGGTATCACAGTGCTTGTGTTCAAGTAACCTTTATTTTACTTAATAATGACCCCAAAGTGCAAGAGTAGTAATGCTGGTAATTCGCATACACCAAAGAGGTGCAATAGAGTGTATGTATGATGTACGTATGTATGTATAGAAAAAAGCATGGTTATGTATAGGACTCAGTTCTATCATGGTTTTCAAGTTTCTGCTGGGGTCTTGATGTATTCCCTGGGATAAGGTGGGACTCCTGTAATGATTTTCTAAGTCAGTTTGTTCTCCCATAATGTAAGTAGTCGGTTACTGGACAGTCTCGGGTTTATTTACGTTCCTAAAATTAAGGCTCATTTAAGTAAAAGCAGTACCCTTGTTTCTCCTATACAGAAAAAAAAACACTCAAGCAACAATTTAAGCTTTGAACAAACTAAATCCATATATTTCTCTATTTTAGTTTAGGGGAAATCTGCATGAGCAGTCACTTCTGTGTGAATTAAGTTAGTAAACTTTTAATTTCCTGCTGCCCTTGACCTTGACGAACCTCACACACAGAGTTTTCATTTGCCCTAATGATGGAAAGCTTATTTTATTCCTGTAAGATTTCAGTCTCTGACTTTATAAACCTCAGAAGCTCTCTTAGCCTATGTTTGTATGCCTGACTTTATGTCTCAGTACTCTGAAGATTCACCTCTTGTCAATGAAACTGACGTCAATGAACTAATTGGTTCTTCTTGTGCATAGGTACCCTGACATGCCCACCGCAGCTGATGTTGTAAACGCTTTAGATCAACAGGCACTTGCATCCATCCTGAGAACATACGGGGAGGAGAGGCATGCTAAGAAAATCGCTTCAGCGATCGTTCAGGCACGCAGCATCTACCCCATCACCAGAACCCAGCAGCTTGCCAGCATCGTCGCAGGTACCCTCATTAATTCTGAACAGTGTCTGAGAGGGAGAAAAAAAAGAATATATATATATTAATCCCCCAAACTACCAAAGGGTTTCATTTATACTTAAAATCATGCAGAAGTGAATCTTGCTTAAAATCTTTGGTTTTGCAAGCTTCCTCCTTAACCCCAACACCTCTCCTCCACACACAATTTTAAAATATACTGCAGTTTGCTGATTAGTTTAATAATATGTATTTTTTTTACATGAGATCATTTATCATTTGTGCCTACCAAGGTGAAACGTGGAATGGCAAGAGCAGAAAAATTTCTTGATTCATCACAGTGCTTGATAAGCATCCTGTATAAGATCTGACATTACCTTTCAGTTTCACATTTCTGCATTTTAATATTTTGGGTGAAAGGAGAATTGCATTGCCCAACTGCTAAAATAAAATCCAGTGACTCACACATCTATTCTAAACAACGGGCTAACAAAGGGTATGTGATGTATAGGTTATTCCACTTGGTGAATGCTAAACTAAATCAGCCTGAGGGGCTTATTGAAACATTTCATCTTTTTTTGCTGTTTGCCACCATAAACCTCTTGAACCTAAGTCTGACTAGGAGGTGCTTTATTATAGCCTTTTTGTTTGAAGCCAAAGTTGTCTCACAGCTGTATTCCATGATGAAAGTTTCCCTAGACAAAAATACAACTTCTGCAGTTGTTATTGCACAGATTTCCAGTGGTAAATTATTTGTCTTTTTGGATTCCTGAAGCCATACATCTTTTTATTTACCAAATGTATTAAGATTTATTTTTAATAGTTTCTCTTAAGTTAATTAAATAGCTAAAGACATAGGAAAAAGCTTCTAGCAAGCTCCTAGTTTTGGTTGCCTCTAAATATTATCCATAGTTTAAGGAATAAAAATTATGCACTTATTCAGATCAAGATTTAAAGATCATATAGCAATTGTCTTATGACATGATTTCATAAAACTTTATTCTTTGTAGTTATGCTAATAAAATATAAAAAGTTGACTAAGTCTTCAATTTTTTAGGTAGCATACCTCAAGGCCCTTGAAATTTAACATTGAGCAACTTCCTTAAGGCAACTAATTGCAAAATTCTAGTAGGTTGTGTCAACATAAAATATTTCATGATAATTTTCCCCATAAAGAGTGTATACTAGCAGGCTAACATTAAATTCACCCTGATCTCGTCCCCCTTTCATTTTCCCCACTCCATACTCACGTTTGCACCTTATCTTTTCCGTCAGACATTAACTAGTTCTGTCTCTCATAATGGAAAGAAGAGCAGTGAAAAGTCACTTTTTATTATTATTATTATTATTATTATTATTATTCATGAAATTCCAGAATTTTCTGGTGCTGAAAATGAGGACTTGGGACTGGAGGGTATTCTAGAGGTCATCCAGTTTTGAAAAAAACCTTATCTGGTAACTGAAAAAATTGAGGCACAGAGAGTGCCAACAGTTTCTTCAAAGATACAGCCTAAGTAATGGCAACATCAGTACTAATCTAGAGTTTGGGAAGCTCGCAAATTTGATGCATAATTGGGTATCTGCCTTTTAAGAAAATAACGTCTGTCTTAGGTTCCTCCTCAGCAAACTTAGGGAAATAACACTGTTTAGATAGAAGTTACATGAAGATGTAGAATAGAAACAATGTAAGTCTTTTCAGGAAGATATGATATGAAAAACATACTTGGGCTATGACAAATTATATAGTAAAAGTGATAATATTCATATATGTGTATATAAAACTTCATTTTAGTAAATGCCACTAAAAGATTTGCGTTCTCTCTAATGAGTATCTTTATGGCTCATATCAGACTCTAATAAAATTTTATTGATGATGATAGAATTCTTTAATAAAGAGAAAATAGAACAATGAAATTACATTTTGAAGTTCATTTATTTAAAAAAGTAATTCGGGAGAGGCTGCTATATGCCAGGGCATTATACTGAGTACTAAGAATAGATTGGGGAGAGAATCAGAGCCTCATGAAGCTTATAGACTAGTAAGTGATTGAATAACAACATGGTTTAAGAAGCCTCTAATTGTAATGAAAAACCTTCTTATCTATTGTAATCTGAAGTTATGATTGTGTGGCAAGTAGAAAAAGCTGATGCAAGTGTAGAATTATATAATGTAGATATATATATATATATATATATACACACACACACACACACACACACACACACACACACACACATACATATAGTCTTAGTATGAGAAATTAATATATCTAAAAATTTTTGCATGTTCACTATACCTTGAAATGGTAATGTTTTCAATATTTTTGTGTTAAATACAGTATTAAAATTAACTATACTATACTTGTTTGTTTTTTAACGTTGCTATAGAAGATAACATGTGGATCATAGTTTTATTAGATGCACTGCTCTATATGATGAGTATTGTGAGGCCACTACTGTGACTTCCTTACTCATGATTGAGCCCACAGTGCTTCTCACAATTTCCTATCTGGGAAGGCATTTAGTAACTACTTTTTCAAGGTTAATGTATAAAATAAATAAAATGCACATAGATCAGAAAGGTGCTGCTTTTATAAAGTTTGTAGTCAGTGAAATAACATCAGTGTTAGTAAAAAGTTGATGCTTAGTCTCATGAACCATGTCTCTCCCATACCAATATGGTCCAATATCAACACTAAAATAAATTAGAAAAACACAGTGCCTTCCCAGTACTTTAGTTTATTCATCTTCAAAATGTAATAGTATCTATTTCCTCCCTCATTCTTCAGGGATGCTATGAATACAAGTAAAACTCTGATGAAATATTTTTATTAATTAAATATCTTAAGAAATGGGAAACTACATATAAAAACTCTCAAACTCTTCAGAAATAAAAAAAGACTTATGCACTTAATTTTGAAAAAATAGTTGTGGTCTAGACTTTGCAGAATTAATGTATATTTGATTTGTGTAGCCTTAAAAACAGGATTGATGCTAGACATCTGTTTGAGTAAGAAGTCTGATTTATTTTCCTCAATAAGCTGTCCATATTCAATGTAAGAGCTAATCTGTATTCCATTGCTCTTTTCATTCTGTCAATACATCAAAGAAATCACCATTTAATCTTAATTGTTAAATTAAATCTAGTTTAATAAAATATATTAGTTTAACTTTTGGTCTACAATTTACTTTCTATGGAAACATGAACAGAACTTCATTTTTCTCATCTTGAAGTGGAAGTGAATAATACTTATGATGATCATTGTTATTTTTGTTTAGCAAACATAACTCTACCAATTATTTTTTTTCTTAAAATAATATTGATATTCACTCACAGTTTCTAATCTGATGCCAAAATCAAATATACCAATCACTTTTCTTTTCATTGGGTTTAGATTCAAATTCACAAAATAGATAATCCACTGATGACAAAAAAAATGACAGGAGGCTTATAATTTCAACTAGAAACCTGGTGCATGAAATTCATACATGGGATGGGATGTTACTCAGCCTGGCCTGAACCCTGTCCAATCTGGGACCCCTCGAAGGATGTCCTACTGCTGGTTTACAGGGATCACCCTAAACCAGTATTTGGATATCCCTTTCACAATCTGGGACTGCTGGCTCCTAACCGCTCACCTGCCCTCCTGCCTGCCTGATTGCCCCTAACCACTTTGCCTGCTTGCCTGCTAGCTCCCAACTGCCCCCACTGCCTGCTTGCTTGCCCCCCAAATCCCCCTCCAGCAGCCTGATTAACCCCAACGGCTCCCCTGCTGGCCTGCTTGCCCCCAGTTCCCCTCCCCTGCTCACACCCAATTGCCCTCCTGCTGGCATGCTCACTTCAAACTGCCCCCCCCCACTGTCCTAATCACCTCCAACTGAACCCCACTGACAGCCTGCTCTCCCACAATTGCCCCCCATGCTGTTCTGCTTACCCCAATGGCTCCTGCCTGATCACCCCCTGGCCTGATCACCCCGAATGACCCAAGGTTCCAGCCCCTCCTTTTTTCTTTTCTTTTTTTCTTTTTTTTTTCAGTGCCTTCTTGAGTGGAGGCCAGGGCCAGTTGGAAGCAAGTATCTAGGATTTATTTGTCCTCTATAATTGAAACTTGTAGCCTTGAACAGAGGCCAGGGCTGTCCAGGAAGCTTGGCTACCTCCATTGCCAGGGCAACCCAAGCCTCCTGCTTGCTTCAGCTCTGTGGCTGCCACCATCTTGGTTGGGTTAATTTGCATACTTGCTCCGATCGGTTGGTGGGCATGGGTTGGTGCAGCAGAGTGATGGTTAATTTGCATATTTCTCTTTTATTAGTGTAGATTTTTGAGTGGGAAAAAAGATGGGGAAGCTTTTTAGATATATTTAATTATTGTTGATTACAATGTGCATACTTATTGTTCTCTGCCTGAAACTTTCATGCAACTTTTATTCTGACTCATGAATAAGGTACAGGGCTAGAGCTTAATGAATGCTTGTTGAACAAATAAATCAATAAAAAAGATGTGCACATTCCCAGCCAAAGTAAAATGAGAAAAAGGGAAAGGAAATCTAAGTTGTTCATTGTTACTGAGAATCAAGTATATTCTGCTCTTCACTTTGAAGAGGAGGGAAACCCTGAGCATCAAAGTCCCGTATAAATTAAAATTGCTTGAGGAATAAATGAGATTCCCCAAGACACGGACTCAAAAATCCTCACATTCTATTTATTTCATTTGCTTTGCGAACTTGAGTAAGTCACTTATGTCCTCTTAATCTCATTTACTCATTTGGAAAATAGGGACAGCCAATTCTTGCTATGACCACTTATTGGAAAGTTCTCTGTGAATCTTAAAGGGCAAATACACTGTACACATTGCGTTCTTTCTTATCCGGAACTAAAGCTCAATCAGGTGCACCAGACAGACCCCTGAGTGTGGCTTTTTCCCCAGGAATACCTTTCCGTAGCCACACATTGTGATCCGTGATAAGCTGATACTTCCATTCCAAGCTGTTCTTCCTATAGGAGTAGTGGGATTTTCAGCAAAGAGAGTA